TGTTCTTCACATTTGAGCTGGGGATCTCTGTATAGATACTGGTGCATTTGGTGAAGATGGATTGTGAACTTTAGGGACTTGATTATGTCCAACTTGCATTGTATTTCAAGACTGTGCCCTATTTTTAGGGAGGCCTATTTGTATGTAAAAGCTTTCTTTCTAATCAGCCTACTTCACCAATCCAGTAATGCCCTAAGCAGTGAGTTAATTGTGCAAAGGCAAAGGAGCACTGAAATGTTCATCCACAATTAGCAAGCAAAAAAAGGGCACATGAAACATGAGTATTAAACCCCAATGAAAGTTTGATTAAGCATGGCAATTTCCTAATAAATGCTGGAAAGTTTTGCAGGAAAAATGCTTTAAAAATACAATTAAATAGGTTTTGACACCATCAGAATGTTGTTGGGTATCACAATATGCTTGATAGCTGAGCATAAAACCTAACTGATGAAATTATCTTTCCCCTACCACCACCACCCCATACACACACACCCAGTTCCATGTTTTCTCTTAATTTCTAAGACTGAAAGTGTAGGTGTATGGAATGCTGGCATTATTTCTGCATTCAGTGACACTAGTAGGTATTTGGGGTTTTGACTATGTTGGTTCAAAAACCCAGACTATTTCCAAGTATCCTAGTGATGTCTGTAAGTACCTGGTTACTGTCAGGTGTCTGTTTGCTCTTGGATATTTTTCCCAAGCTTTGTTGTATGTCTTAAGAAATGACACTTTTACACTTGAGTAGCGATTGGTAAGACTTGGCCTGCAACAATAAATAGAAAACATGGACAGAACCTTCTTAATTTAAAAAAAAAGGTGGAATGAGGAGGTAAAAATTTTAAGTATTAGAGACTAAAAAGAGTCTTCTCACAAGCTTTTCAAGTTGCTGATTTCTTTAGATTAGAGCATGGAACCAATGATATGTGAGCCAGCTATGGTCCAAATATAATCCACATGAAATCTGGAAAAATGCTAATTTATTTTTTCCAGGTTGATGCCTCTAAAATAAGGTGACCTCTTTGTTTTTCTCAGCAAGGAAAGGTTCTCACCACTGCCCCAAAATTCCAGGTTTAAATAGTGCTGTCTTTAGTGATCAAATGAATCCATATAGTCTCTAGCATGACAGATTTTTACAGGATTTTCCATGTGTGCATTAAGAACATAGCAGTGTTTTTATTGCATAAACTACAGCTTCTTGATGATCCAAAACTCTCTCCTGAAGTGCCTGCCTGTGTAGTTGCTTGGTAAAAGCCCTGAAGAGGCAGTGCCATGCAGGGGTTTCCTGTGTGCAGTGTAGTAACTGTGGAGCTGCTCTGGCGTGAAGCCCTTGTGGCTTATCCTGTAGTGACCTTCAGTCTTTAGCCTTCCAGCTTTAGTTTAACTTACGCAGGCACTGACCTTTGCTATGGAAACGATATAGAAACACAAAAACAACTTGGCTGAGTTTCCTCGGCAGAGCAGTGGGTGGTGGATCAGGATTCTGTTACAGGGGAGGGTTTCTAGAGGTCACTAGTGACACCGTGCAGTAACTTACTGCTTGTCTGCAGCACACTGTTTGCTGCTCCCGGGAAAGTGCTATATCTTTTTTTTAAAGTAAAATTAGCAATTTTTTGTTTGTAGTGAGCAGCTCTAATACTGCACATTAATGGAATAAGTGCTGGGAGGGGAGGTTTACCTGAAAGCCTTCCTAGGGCTCAGCCAGTAGTTCAGGTTACTGTTCCTCTGTAAGTGACCCATGACTGAATCTTGAGCACACTGATACTGTAGTGCCTTACCATAATGCTTCCTCATGGTGCTGATTCTGCAGCACTTGCCAGTAGGTTGTAAAATGCTGTTCATTTAAATACCTATGGTCTGTAAAAACACACTGTGTTCTTATTTGTGTATATTCTTTACTAAGGTGAACTAAAGGTTCATGGCTTCATTATGTATTTAAACAAAAGATAGTATTTTTTCTCCCAAATTAATTAAGTACTTATTTTCATTGAAAAACAATTAGCAGGTTGGGGATTTTTACTGATTTAAATGTTTGGGCTGTTCAACGTACAGAATTGTGCATGAAGCAGACAAGGTGGTAAGAAGGCATCACCCTGCCATCAATGAAATTAGGAACAATCAATATTTTTTTGAATGACAGCAAAACTGTATTTAAAAGGAATGCATTTTAAATGCCTAAATAAATAATATTTCCTGAAGTTGATTTGGGGTTGTGGTTCTCCTTCATTATTCACAAGGTAGGTTTTGCATCAATAATGGCAAGTCAGCCTGGAGCAGCCAGCTTGCTTATTACACAAGATTTAAGGGGGAAATGTTCATTCTAAAGCATAGATTTGTGTAATAAATTTGGGGGTTTTATATCCACAATCCTTTCAGCTGCCTGAGTTTCACTAGCACATCGGGCTGTCTGGTTAGCATGCACAGCCTGTTGAGCTCACTGGCTTTTGGCTGTGGCTGCTGGGAGCACAGGGACACTGCAGCCTGTCCCTGCTTGCTTGAGGCTGGGATGTTTCCTTTAATGAGGCTCCATTGGTGCAGTCAGGCCCTGAATTACACTCTGTCTGGAGTACATGGGTGTTATTCTTCCTTTCCCACTCCCTGGCTTACTTTATTGCCACAGGTATTGCACACATTGGTTATATTTATTCCTTTACTTTGTGGGGGGATGGGGTGTTTATCTTTTTACTTGACCTTGAATAAAAGCAGTAAATTGCCTGCAATACCAAGTATATATTTTTAAATCTCTGCTACCTTGCCAGAGTATATGGCCATAGAGTCTCCTGGGCAATACCAGTGTGACTGCTGGCATGGGGGATGTTTTACCTCCCTAAACTGAGTTCCTGCTCTGTGTCCTCTGTAGAAGATGGTCTTCATGCACTGTAGAGAGACCAGCTTAGTTTTACAAGTATCCCCCACCCTTCCTTATCTCTGGTATCACCAGTATCTCTAGAACTGCTGTGTTCATGTCCATTGTTCAGCATGGGGAAGATTAGCCTTAATTGGAAATTAGCTTTGTCACAGTGACCGCATTTGGAAGTCAGTCAAATTTTTGAATAGGTCTGGCTTGTAATTTTTATAATTCCCAGTATTAGAGTGAACACATTTAACTAACGTCACATTTAGGCTGTATTCCATTGTGTTAAGATTTAATTTTAACTCTGAGGAAAATGGATGGTGGAGTCACAGTGTTGAGAACTTGTGACAAGATGGCTGCTGTAATGCTAAACTAATATGTGTCCTAATTTTCTTTAAACTCCTAAAATAATTCAGACTGATTTTAAAAAAATCAATTATTCATTTGGTATTTAATGAAAAAGACACTTCTGGAAAGACACTTGAGTCCTGCATCAAGCACAAAAAGGAACTTATGCATGTGTATATATTTAATTGGTGTAAAAGTCCCTATGCTCCACTGTGATGGCAGCACTAAGAGGAAAGTTCCTTGTGGTCCTGATGTTCCTGGAGTTCATAGTTGACTTCTGACAGTGAAGGGAGAGAAACCTGCCAGTACACTGACTGCCACAGAAGGTTCTTTACTGTAACCATTTACTTACATGGGAAGCAATTCTGACAATCTAAACTGTCTCCTTTCAGTGGCTGAAGGGATAGTTTGGTTTGGTTTGATTTGGTGTTTTTTAACTGGATTCAGCGCTTTTCCCTGAGAACTCTAGGGATAATATATTTGACAAAACAAGGTCTTTCCAGACTTCTGTGTAAACCTAAATTTCTATTCTTGACTGAGAAAGCTCTAATAAAAGTGACAGACCTGGTAGGTGCTGCCCCTGAATATAGACCCCAAGCTGTACCTTGAATATAGAAACCAGGCTTTCATTTGGTCCATGAAACTCCCTGCCAGGAGTGCTGCACCAGCAGTGGGGCTGCTGGGTGTGGGTGTGCTTTGGGCTTGTGTGCCGCTGACTACTGGCTTAAATTACTCTTCTAAGTAGGTTAAATTGACATGTTTTGTTTGGTTTTTAAGTGTTAGTTGTGTAAAGAGCTTGGATAATATTGTTGTGTGACTAAATAACTCTCCCTAGAGACAAAAATATTGACATGGCAAAACCACGTTTAAAGAATGACTGTCTGTCCCTCCCTCCCGTTTGAACACAAGTTGATGTCAAAGTCAATGAAACGTAAATCTGCTCCAGTGCAGTTTAGCAATTATATAACTTACAGCCTGCATCAATCTGCCAGTTGCAGCAAGGTGAAGGAAAAGATTTTTCAGAAGTATTTTGTAGGCTTCAGATTTATAATAACAGGGGTTAAAGGAAACTGGTGTTACTGTTGTTTATGTTTGTTTCCTTAACGAATTACCCACGTACTATCATAAAATGGGCTTTTTCTTCTAGTTTCAGTTCATAATTTTTTTCTGCTGTTTCAGTGTTGCTGCAGTTAGCTCAAGCAACAGGTGGTTTTATGGCAGCTGACTGCATTGGTGGTTACATGTGTATTTGAGAAACGGAAAGATGTGTAAATGAACAGTTGCAGAATTTGGGGGTTTGAAGTATTTTCTTTGCCAAAAATAAACCACACTTGATTGTCTAGATATTGATTGAATCTTCTTGTCCTAATTTGATACATTTCATTTACAAAACTTCTTAAGTTTAATAAAAGTTGCTGTTCCATTTCATAGTAGAAAAGCTAAAAGTTTTTAGTATTTCTAGAATCTAGGTGCATCTTAGTAAAATTGGTAATTGGCAATTAAAAACATTACCAGAAACAGACTTATAGCATAGCATAGCTTTGATGTAGAAATTCTGTAGATAGAAAAATTGCCTTTGAGAGATTCAAAAATAATAATGATATTTTGACATGCATTCATTCATTCCAGTAATTGTTGCCAGTCCTTGTGTTTGGTGACAGATACCTGTACGCAGATTTCTGAAGTTTGTAATGAAATACTACTGACTGCTAACTCTTTGGACTTGTTGTGTGTTTGTGGGGTGCACCCACAGCTGCAGTGGGAGTCACCTAACCTGCTCTATTCCTTGTGCCCCCCTCAGCTGCTGGGCTACAGCGAGAAGCCGGTGAACCTGCAGATGTTCATTGGCACGGCCGACGATCGCTACCTGCGGCCCCACGCCTTCTACCAGGTGCACCGCATCACCGGCAAGACCGTGGCCACTGCCAGCCAGGAGATCATCATTGCCAGCACCAAAGTGTTGGAAATTCCACTTCTTCCTGAGAATAATATGTCAGCCAGGTACTTCACAGCATGAGTCAGCCGTTTTGTTGCTATGTGTAGTTTTTATTTTCTTTGTTTGTGCAAAGGTGAAAGAAAAGTCCTGTAAAATCAGCGTATTTTCCACAAATCTGGGTCATGATGAAGTGACACATCTCTTATAGCAAGCCAGTGTAGAATAGTCAGAAGTAAAGGAGCAGAGAGGCAGGGAAGCTCTCGTACAAATGTGTTATATGACTGAGGTTGTGTGTCTCATATGAATAATTCACCACTGTGTGGAATAGCAGATGGGATTTGATGGGTACACTTTGTTGTCCTCTAGTCCTTTCTAAACTAGAACTAAATAGTGGTCTCTTGCTCCTTGTAAATGACATTTACTATGTTCAATAACTCACTTTGGAGGTTAAACAATGTGCAATAACAAATAATCTTTTAAAGGTTCAAAAAAGCAGCAGCTGGACATTTACAAGACACAACGTTTCACCAGTACTTGCTGCTGTTTCCACACTAAGCGTTCTTTCAATCACAGACATTTAAAATAACCCTTAAAATACCATAATGGGGGGAAAAATAGAACAGCTTCATTCTTTAACAAAAGAAAGGCTTACAGAGTGATCTTTGGCAGTAGTTGATTTATTTTCTTCCATTTCTGTTGTGATCCATCTGTCCATCCTCTCCCATCTCCAGTATCGATTGTGCCGGTATTTTGAAGCTGCGCAATTCAGACATAGAGCTCCGGAAAGGAGAGACAGATATTGGGAGGAAGAACACCAGAGTGCGCCTCGTGTTCCGTGTGCACATCCCACAGCCCAGTGGAAAAGTCTTATCTCTGCAGACTGCTTCCATTCCTGTTGAATGCTGTAAGATTGCTCTAACTGTACATCTTCTATACTCATGGTTTCTGCATGTGTCAGGAGTAGTGTCACCCTGATATATGTAATGAATATATATACATGTATTGCCAGAATTATGTATAGCAATTGTGTAAAAAGCATTGTGTGTAAAGCACTCAATTACCAAGTTAATGTATCTTTAAGTAAAGATGGTACTTGCCAACAGCTTGGAGGTTTAGAGGAAAAACAAGGGGTTGGGCTTTAGCCTCAATGCAGTCATACAGCTTCAGTAGTGCCTGTGTATGAACAGAGGCAGCTGATACATCTCAGTGAAAATACTCATTCTAAAGCTGATGCCGTTTCATTGATAAGAGTCTGTACCATGACTTTCCCTATACAGTAATATCTAGTGAACAGCTGAACTTTTAGAGAGTTGATTTGTTAAATACTGGCACTAAGCAATCAAGGCATGACCTTAATCTGAATTTCCCCTAGAATTTATTTTGTCTAGAAACCACTGCAGTAATTTTTTTTAATCCAGTACTCCTAAACTAAAAATTGTATTTGCTGTAACAGTAGAGACTGCTGGCATTCATGTCTCCTCGGTGTTTTTCTGTAATTACGTAATTTCAAAATAATTTTAAAAGCAAAGATAAATCATAGACAAATATGATTTGTGTATGTAAACAGATGGTAATTTTAGTTTCATCCCCGATTCTTCAAGTTAGACTCATAAAATAAATGTCATTATGATTAAAATTGTAAATAATAATTTTTCCCTTAATATTTCTAAAGCTCAGCGATCTGCGCAAGAACTTCCTCAGATTGAGAAGTACAGCATCAACAGCTGCTCAGTAAATGGAGGCCATGAAATGGTGGTGACAGGATCCAATTTTCTTCCAGAATCCAAAATTATATTTTTTGAAAAAGGACAAGGTAAATACTGTCTTGCTGGGTTTTTTTCAAACCAAGCTCAGTACCTGAGCTCGGTTTTAAGAAATAAGGATGTTTTAAGAGTAATAATTGGAAAGTTCATTTAGACACTGATCTGTGGCTAGTTGGTAGTTATTAATGAAGTAGTCCTTCTGATTCAGGAAGACAGTTGGAGGGTAACTAACTTGGAATGTGTGTATTTGAAAGATGTTGTACAGATCATACCATGTATTTGCTCCTTCTTACAAAAAAATGAAAAAGTGAAAATGGGATCTAATTGAAATGTAGTATTTGGCATTGATGCCATGTTACATCTGGTTTAATCAATGCATAGGAACTGACTCCCTAGCAAATGAAATAAATGCTAGCTAGAAAACAATAAAACATACATAAAATCTGAACAGCTTAAATTATCATTTTGGTGGCTTAAGTGTCTGATTTGAACTTTCAGGGAAACAGCAGCAAAAGAAATTATTAAAATCAAAAATTTGCAAACCAAGTCCAATTTTTCTACATCTTAATATTTCTGTATATATGTAAATAAGAATGGTGTTGTTTTTATTAGCAAATACAAAATGTTATGTAATCATGTGTTCTGGCACACAAGCTGAACACCTTTGGGAGAGGCAGAGCTGCTGCTGTGGTTCCCTGGTTCCCTGTAACAGCACCCAGTGCAGAGGGAGCCGAGTGCAGGGTGTGGGTTATGCCAGGTCAGGGCACAGGGAGGCTGCCCAGGTGATTGCCCCTGGGGCCTGTGGGGTCTGTGGGTTCAGGGCGGGGAGCCCCGGGCACCGTGACCCCGGGCCGGGCAGGGAGGGGTGGCCTGGGTTATCTGCTGCTGACTCAGCCTCCCAGTCATCAGCAGCTTGTTTGAATAAGCACAAGTGGCAGCAGCAGCAGTTTAAGCACCCTTCAGGAAGGTTTCAGAAGGAGTGGAGAACCCTTCTGTGCCCTGCAAAGCCCTTCTGTGCCCTGCAGAACCCTTCTGTGCCCTGCAGAGCCCTTCTGTGCCCTGCCCCTGCTCAGAGCCTCCCTGCAGCTGAGCTGCCTGTGCAGGACCTGCACGCTGGGCTGCACTGCACAGTCCTGCACAGCAGCAGCTGCACTGGTACAGTTGCTGGAACAAGTACAGTACAGTACTGCTGGAACTCCTAAAGCATCTCTCTACTCTGTTTACAGTGTGTGTCTGTCAGTTTAACAGCCTCTTTGTGATTGAAAATAAATCCTGTTTGATATTGAGTATTTAAACATTTTTAATATGAACTATTAAAGTGTTAAGAAAATGCTTTTTGCTTGAATTATTTGTAAATTTTTCTCAACAGATGGACGACCTCAGTGGGAAGTAGAAGGGAAAATAATTAGGGAAAAGTGTCAAGGGGTGAGAAACAATTTTTCTTACTTTAGAAAGCTTATTTTTTTTAAAATATGTAAATTGATATTTTCATTGTTGTTCTGAAATTTAGACTTCATTTATTAAAATAAATAGATCCCTGACTAATTCAGACAGACAATTGGAGACTTCTAAATTGTCTTAAGACTATAAAGTAGCCATTAAGAGGATGCTTTGAAGGAACTGGAAATAGCATGCTTGTTGTGAAAGCAATGAAAAAAGAACTTGAAAATTAAAAAGCGGAAACTTAAGATAATTTTACTAACGTGACAAATTACTTCCAGTGCATTAAAATTTTTTTAAAAGCTTAATGATCCAAAATCCAGTTTTTTAACTGCTAGAAGGTTTTCTTGTGCTCTGGCAGATAAGCAAAATATCCTTTATATGATATGTCTATTTAATTAAAGCATTATCTTCAGAGCACTTGTGTTTAAAAGAAAATAAAATTCTATAAATAAAAGTTTGCCTATAGTACTGTTTCACTATGTAATGTGCATGAAGTTTGCCAATTTAAAAATATTAGGGTGCTTTAGTTTTACCATAAGTGTTTCAGTTTTTCTGTAATTAACAGTTTCATTTGCTTTTAATGTGTAAAACTTTTTTATTTCAACTTTTCTATAGGCAAACATCATACTTGAAGTTCCTCCATACCATAACAAAGCCATCACAGCTGCAGTTCAGGTGCAGTTTTATCTCTGCAATGGCAAGAGGAAAAAAAGCCAATCTCAACGTTTTACTTACACACCAGGTATCAAATGAAAAATACAAAAGTGGCATTTTATTTTGTTTTTTAAAGTGGACATACAAAAATACTCCAGACAGTTTTGATCCTTTGATAGGAACATAGGATTAGCTTTGAACTGTTTGTAAAACAGTTACTAAAGCTTATCTAATTAAAAAGCTGAAAAACAGAGTAGTGAACTCCAGTACTGTGACTACAGCTAGTTATTTCTTCATTACACTTTCTACAAAATAATTTTTGCATTCTACTTTTCTTTGAGAATGATGATGAATCTTAGAAGCTGCTCTTTAAATAACTCTGGTAATGACATGGTGAATAGTGAGATCATAGAAGAACAAATTTGTGCATTTTTTTTCCTCTCTCAAATGTCAAAAAAGAAAAAAAAATAGGTTTAGATACAAGGAAGGTCAAATTATTTTTCCCCTACTCTGGATAGATTGCAGTTTACTGAGACAAATCAGCTTGTAACTTAGCCAGAAGTAAAACCAGGATATGTTAACTGCAGATGTAGTAAACAGTCTATTCCTTCCGACTTGGTGTGAGGAAGAGCTTGCAGCAGATGTGCAGTGCCTGCTCCTGTCCTGCCCCTTGCTTTATTTCAGCTGTGTGCCCATTTGGAGCAGTCAGAATTCCCAAGGTGCCAGTGATGGTGAGGACCCTTTGGTGCTGCTTGGAGCACTTGAAGTCAGATATCTGAATGAGTCTTTAAAGATACAGATATTCATATAAACTTCTTAAAACTTCTGTATATGCTGACAAAGCCAACTTCCATTAGTTAACACAATTTAAAATAAGCTGTGCTCACTTGCTGTGCTCTAAAATTACCTACTTTTTAAATTTAGGCAGTGTTACCGAGGTGTCTGGTATGCCAAGTACACATGAACTGTGCTATCAGATTTCTGTGGTATTTGTCAACTGTTTTTCAAGAATATCAGCTCTTAAGATAGTTACACATCTATATTTTTGTTTGAAATATCTCTATTTAAATTATTTAAATGATAGAATGAAATAATGAGTTACTACTTAAATAAGAAGCAAGCTGAATTGTAACTGCAGCTGTTACTACACAAGCACTTAAATCACTCTATATGTATTACAGTTCATTTGACTGTAATATTTAGTTAACTGTATTTTATAAAGTAGTAAATGAGCATTTGAGTGTTAGTATTTTTCTACTAGTACTTAAGATTAGTATCTTGTTGTGAGCCTACCAACAGTTTAAAAAAAATAAACCTGTAACTGAAAGTGTGTCAGTTTGTAGCTCTTATAAGAACAGTTTGCTGCCATCACTGAAATTGGGGAATGAGCTTAAAGAGCTGCTGTAATTAAAACATGGTGCACTACTCAGGCTGGGGTGTGTGTTGCCAAAGCTCAGCTGTCCTTGTGATCAGAGGCTAAGGAATGCCTGAAGCCTGCTAAAAATTGCCTTCACCATTTCCTAGTGCATGATACTGAGCTCACATCTGCCCATTTTCGGTGGAGCCCAGCAGCAGCTCCCCCCCTCTGGAGACAAGAACGTCCTTTAGATGAACTGGACTGTCTCTGGCTGGGTTGCAGATGTCTTTAAAACCATCCATTGCATAGGAAGATGTGCTGGAAGGGGAGATGCTTGCCCTTGAATACCTGCTGGGAGAGTTGTTCTGGCTTTGCAGGGTTGGGGTAGCAGGCACAGAAACAAAGAAGGTGAAAGCAGAGCAGAAGGGAAGCAATGACAATAAACGTGCTACTGTGGTTGTTAAGCAGCAGTCAGTGTGTATTTGTCACAGGGTACAGATGGGCTGGAATTGTAAAACTGTTTTACTTTTTCCAGTTATAATGAAGCAAGAGCACAGAGACGAGGTGGATTTGTCAGCTGTTCCGTCCCTGGCCCTGCCGCACGCGGGCGGCGTCCAGGGCCTGCACTCCATGCGAGCCCAGCTGCCCTCCCCGGAGCAAGGGCACCCCCATGACAATCTGCTGTCCACGTCACCCAGGAGCCTCGTGTGTCCCATGCAGCCGCCCTACACGGCCATGGTGACCTCGGCAGTGCCACACCTGCCACACATGCAGGGCAGAAACCTCAGTCCAAGTGAAGAGTGTCACGTTTTGCCTCCTGCTGTGGTTCAGTCTTTTCAGGTAACATCAGCCCCTCCCGTGAGGCCTTCTTACCAGCCTGTGCAGCCTAGTGATGTGTACAATGGACAGCCTGGCCTTCCCATGAACTCTGCCCCCGGCCCAGCATTCGATGCCATTTCATTTCCGCAGGACACGGCTGTACCTCACTTGATAAATCTCAGCTGCCAAGCTCTACCACCGGTGCAGTTCCATTCTTCAAACCCAGGTTCTGTGTCAGCATCAAGTCCAGCAGGGCACGCCCTGGCCCACGCAGCTCATTCGGGACAGTCACCTGCTCAGCTGCCATCCATGGGATTCCACTGCCCGGGCGCGGGGCAGGGCTCCCTGCCCTCTGCCATGAGCCGCTCCCTCGGCCAGGCCCCTCCGCAGCTGCAGCAGGTCCCGTTCCACTCTCCGAACCCAGCGGCCGCTTCTTCCCCGTCCCCGACAGCTTCGCACCCGCTGGGCCACTCGCCGCTGTCCGGCCCCTCTTCCCCGCAGCTGCAGCCTCTGCCTTACCAATCCCCCAGCTCAGGGCCCGCCCCGTCGCCGCCGCCCGGGGGCCGCTCGGGGCAGCACTCGCCGCAGGCCGCCAGCCCCGCGCTCGGAGCCCTGGGCTCGGTGTCACCCCTGGGGCCCCACCCCGGCTGTGACTCGTCTCCCTTTGCGCCCGAGGGGGCAGCTGTGCACATCAAACCAGAGCCTGAAGACCGGGAATTGAATTTTCAAACCATAGGACTACAAGACATCACACTAGATGATGGTAAGTGGATATAATGTTGCAATACTGGGGTTATAATGGGCATTAAACTACCAAGTGGGTGTGGGAGGGTTGTTCTGTTTAGATCACACTGCTCTTCAAAGAAGGAAATTTATATCATCAGTCATGGAATCATATTCTTGTGTCCAAAGCAACAAATTGTTTAAAACTAATTATGTCAACTGTTTGTACTTACACAATTCAAGCATTTTAGTCTGATTTGCCCAAAAACTTTGGTTTTGTCATAAAATAAGGCTTGAGGATCAACTCTTACACATTGACACCTTGTAGTCGAGAAAGTAATTTGAAGTCTTTTCTGATTGTGTCACTGATACGTTTCAGTAAAACTCATAATACGATATCGAAGTTGCATAGATGGAGTTTGGAGTCTTGTTTCTTGGAGTTGTCCCAGTTTTGAAGGGCAGGCTGGTGTTTTGATAATCTATCACATGCATTTTGGCACTGTCTTGGTCTCCTCACAGACATTCTGTAGATACTGTCATCATTCAGCACCTCTGCTCACAGTGGCTGTTTGCTTTTTCCACTCTGACTACCTTTTTGAGAAGTTCACTTGTTTAACATAAACAGAACAAGGACATTATAATGCTAAAGGCCAGACTATAAAGGACTGTATTGTAAATATTTGGACAATTTAAAAAATTTAGTTATTAATTAAATAGTTATTTTCCAAAGAAGTGAAAAAAGAAAAATATTAGATCCTAAACATCAGACTATTTGAGGTGTAGATGCAAAGCAACTTAAAGAATCTGTCATGCTAATAAAGTCTGGAAGAACGGAAGGCCTGGCCTTAAAAGTTGTGTAAAATGTGTTTGGTTTTGATGAAGAGAATCATGCCAGTGTCTCTTTTCTAAAGTAGTCATAAATGTTGTAGTTTAGGGTTTTTTTAACCATCCCTGGTAATTACTTAATTGCATCAGCAGTAGAATAAAGACTTAAGTGTAGGCCATCTGTTAAGTATCTGTGTCAGTCCCAACTCCCTGCATAAATTGAGCTTTGCTATTGTTACCTCCAGACAGTAGTAATAAAATTTAGTCAGAAATGCCTTTAAAGACGTGGCACAGTAGGAGGAAAACAAGAGAAACCAGTCTAGTTGAGCTTTCAGTTCAATAGCCACCTTAACTAAACAAAGCTCTCTTTTTAGAAACACTGTTTATCAATCAACTTAAGTTTATTTAGAAAGGAAGGAAGAGACTGATTCTGTCAAGGACTTGCTGAGGGGAGAAAAGCAAGGCTTTATGAAAAATGCATGCAGCAAAAAAATAGCATTTTGTACTTCTGTATAGAGGAACAAGAGGGAAATCTAATGTTTCAAGAAGTGTCAGGTTAGAACCTACCTTTTTCTCATCCTTCTTCTCTCCACACCCACAAGAAAAAGTAGAAACAAATCAAATATAATTGAATACTGTGGTTAGACTGTTCACAAAGTAAGCAGAAGTGTTTAGCACTTATGAATATCTTGGCAGTTTGTTTATAATTGTTCAGAAATTAAAATGGATGCACAGTAAAAAAGTTTTTTTCTCTATGTCACAAATATTTGTTGCTTTTTGGTACTATTTCCTTTGCTTAGCACTGAAAGCACTGCCCTGTTGTGTGCTGACAAAGCCATGGAATCACAGGAGAAGCTGGTGGAGCCTCACTGGAAGCGTGGCCACTTGCTGATGGTTCAGAGTCCAATGAACATGGGAGTCAAATGGCCACAGCTTAATTAACTTCTTTTTTTAAGTGATTGTTGTAGAAAGTTAAAGTTCTGATAACTGCTGATTAAACATACTTCATGTATGGAGAATTGAGCATGGATTTAAGTGCTGAGCTTGCCCTTGGCAGCAGCCCTGTGTTTGTGAGCGGCGCCTTTCCCTTCCACCGTGCGATGATTTCCTGGGGTTGGGTTTGGGGCTTCTTTGCCTTTCCAATCTGCAAATACAAATCAGATGTTGAGCACGAAACCTGCTGTTCCCAAAGTCTGGAAGGGCACAGGGACAAGAAGCAAAGCTGCTCAGTTCTCTCAGTGTGAGTGAATACTTCCTCTGCTTAATCAGCTTTAAGGGAAAAAAACCCCCATGTTTAGACAAGAACACTTTTCAATAATTTATCTGGTTTAAAAAACAATTCTAAAATTTCTTTTTCTTGTATAATTGAATTTTAGTTTCTGTACAAATAGTGCCAAGCACAAATAGCAAATAGGCTATTCTACAATAATGTTATAACAATTAAAGAAAAAAATCCAAACACAATTACATACATAAAATGAGTGTTGTTACAATATGTTCTCCCAACTAATACATCAAACCTGAAAGCTCTACGTAGTTGGATAATTGGTTTTTGAAGGTTACCAATTAAGGCAAATAAACCTCTCAAAATAAAACACTAAGGCAAAGCCAGTTGAAAATTCTTTAAATCATGTCTGGCTTACCAGCCTTAAATATTTAAATCAGTATTCTTAAAATAAACAAAAAACTGTGAGAGCATAAATTATCTTCTTTCTTTTAAGTAATGTATACTGTTTCAAAATTAAAATAGTATCTATTTCTTTGCCAAGAAAATAAAATATTTCAAAAAATATTTTACAAAATTTCAGTGTAGTATGGAAGTGCTACCCCATGATAAATAAATCACAGAATTAGTGTATCTTGACAGAATTGGATTTAAAATTCTTAAAGACAAAATCCCCATTAAAAAAACCACAAAACTGAGAAATCCCCACCTCCAGATGTGACTGTGTGTGTATTAGTTACATAAATTCATTTATGTAAGACCCCTAGAAATGACTCTCACTGCCTCTTCAACCAACATTGAGGTGTTTTCTTAAAAACACACCAAAACCCCTTCCCAGTCACTGCATAATACAGAGCTACAAAGCTGCTCCATCCATCTGGGCTCAAGTCAAGAGCATCTGGATTAGTCTTGATCCAGCATCTCCTGGAAAGTGGAACACATTTGGAGCTTCCCTGCAAAGTCCAAGGTGTTTGCCAGTGACCAGGTGGAGAACCTTTTGAAATGTTGCTGTGTTCCTTTGCCCTTTCCCTGGCTCTGTTCACTCTGTGGTTGAACACAGGTTACACAATGGAAGGACAGATCCTGCCCATGTGTCTGGCAAAGGACTTTCCTTTCCTTCCTTTCCTTCCTTTCCTTCCTTTCCTTCCTGCTTCTTTCCTTTCTCCCCCCCGTACTGAACTTTGTGTGACTCTTCATTGTCTTGTTTTTCAGGAGGACCTTGTTGATATCCTTAGACTTTTCTAATCTCCACCTTGAATTTGCTTTCATGTTTTGTTTCCCCTCTTCCTATCCTTGCATCCTAGGGAACACCTAATTCACTTGAAACAAGGGATCAAAATGCATGAGGTCACATAGATTCAAAATTCAAATTACATTATAAAAAAATATTTGAAACATAACACAATTTCAAAGTAGTATTGTATGCTACTACTTCAAAGGCATTCTGAAAAGTTCTCTTTTCTGCTTAGGTTTTGCAGTTGTGAGGTTGCACAAACTCAGAAACTTTTGGGCTGGAACTAAGTAAAAACAGCTCCACGCACTTTTATTTGTCCCCTCTACCTTTTCTGTCTCTCAGTGTGTTGGACCTTTTTTCCTTAGCATTTCTCAGCAAGTCAGCCCTCTGGCCAACACCTCAGGTTAACATTTCCCTGGAAAGACAGTGGAGTTTTAGGGCTGCAAACAGATACAAACAAGGCAGCTGAAGTGACAGGAAACAGGCAGCTGGTCATGTCTGGCCTTTCCCATATCCATCATCCATACTGCTGCACAGTCATCTAATAAAGTTTCTTCCCCACTTCAAAGAAAAGCTATCCAAAGTTAGACTCAGTCTGGTTATATGATGAGGCTTAATTAATCTACCCCCTCTATTTTTAAAAAGTGCTCCTAATGTAGTGGTTTACCTATTCCCACTGTCAGGTTTTAGGTTTAAAACTGTTCCAGTACTGTCGATCTCAAATTTAATCTTTTGTGGTTTGCAGTTTAGGAGGGAATTTACCTTGGATTTCATGGCTTTCTACAGTGATGACATTTCTAACATGTACACCTGTATTTAACCATTTTTAAGGTATTGTTTGGCTAGATTCAGCAAATCAGGATGACCTTCTACTAATCCTCTTATATTTTGTTACTCATTGCATCTCCATTACATAAAGCTGGAGATTAGAAAATCCAGTATGTGCATTTACCATAAATCATAACCAGAAATCCCCTAAGCACTTTGTGTATATAAAGCAATGAGGCTGCTTTGTCAGACACATTCCATGTAGAACTCTAAGCTGTTAGCATTCATTCATTTTAATAGTTCTGTGATAACTCTCTAGTTTATAAATTCTCTTGCTGAGAAGCTCAGATTATTCTGATCTTGGCTAGAAGACTTGTACATCTTTGCAGGCAGCTTTTTGACTGTAGCTTCAGCTTAATTTCTGGAGAATCAAAGTGGTGAGTAATAAAGTATTGGAGAAGGACTATACTTTGTATTTCTGTCTGTATTTAAAACTTACTCATTAAGATCGGTGTTAATTAAGGCAGCATCCTGCCACTGGAGGTCTGCAGAAGCACAGAAAGTACTGAATGCTGGAGTCTGCTGTAGTGTGGAGGAGAGCAGCTCAAACTTGAGATGTACATCTCCAATCCAAGCTGTTCTCCTGAGTACAGAGTGAAATGTTGCACCTTGCAGTGTGCCCAGCAAGGCCAAGGACTCTGACCTACCCTGTGCCTGGAGCTGTCAGGGCAATCCTGCCCAGAAAGGCATTCTGAAAACTCTACCAGTATAGACTGGTCAGTAAAGTTGTGTTCAAAGTCCTCCTTTCTTAGCATTCTGATTATTAAATCTGTATTGTCAAGCAGCACGAGGCAGCAGTAAAAAGCAATCCTGCAGTGAGATGTTGAGGTGATAAGGCAGAACCTGAAATGGATTGAAAGAGAATAGAAATCTACTTTGAGAAAATGTGTGTTATGGACAGAATGAGGATCCAGACCGAGCAGTAGTCTAAAAGCTGAAGGGTGGAGCAGTGAGCAAAGGTGAAATGTTTTGCATCAGGGTTGTCAGCAGTTAAAGGGTGCTTTGACTGTATCTTCTAGGGGATTCACTCACTGTGTCCATAAAATCTATGTCAGTGATGCATCCCAGTTACAGATTTCTAATGTGTAAAGATGTCAGCTAAATCCTCAGGTGTCTGTGGCCAGCTCTCCCTGGGAGAGCCTCAGAACATCTTGTAACTAATGCAAAGTAAACTCAGCTGACTCACCACGTCAAAAAGATTCCCATTCAAGAATCAGAAGAGGTTAGAGACTTCTTCCGTCAGTGCAGGTGGCACTTCTGCACCAAGGTGTGGCTGCTGGCAGTCACAGCAGCACTGGAAGGAGCTCAGTGCACCTTGTGACCCCAGACAAAATCCACACAGACCCTTCAGCACCACTTTCCACTGCACAGCCCATGTGTCCTCTAGAGCCCAGGCTTGTCCTGGATTCTGTGTCAGACTCAGTTCTCTTCTTGTGTGAGGGAAAAGGTAAACATGACTGCAGTGAGTTGGTTTCACCAGGCTACAGAAATGCAGAGTGTGACAGCACAGCCAAGCCATGAGCAGGGTATTTGTTACTGTAGCAGATAATTGCAGAGCTGGTGCTGTGATTCTGCAGGCACATTTCATTTTTCTGTACATAATGTGCAGGGGGAAACTATACTCCAACATTCCATACAGTTAATTGGGAAAAAATAGTACTGCTTAGTGAAGTTGGCATTAAACCTGAAATTACTGAAAGCAAGCCTGGCCTATGGCTTGGAAGGTGACCTGCAAGGCACCCCCTGTCCGTGGTAGTTTACCACAGCAGCCCTGGCCTCACAGGTTTGGTCCCAGAGCAGCACAATCAGCTGGCTGCTCCAGCACAGACTGCTGAGGGTTAATTAGAGCCTGGCAGCTTCTTCTTTTTTGTTAGGGAAAGTTGACACTCGCTGGTCATGTGGAGTCAAAACCAGGCTAAATATACTGCACTAAGCAATGTGACAGAGTTGAAGAGGTTGTTCACATAAATTCAGCTGTTAGAGTTCTGTCTGAGGCTGACAGAAGGTGTATGTCCCAGGAAATGTGTGCTGCACTCTGTCCATAGTTTTCCTTGAGGTTTGCTGGTCCTTGTTACCTCTTTCAGGAGAGCAATTCACTCACCTGTCCTCTAAAACACACAGTTTGTATGTTTCTTGCAAAGGACATTAAAAAAGTCCACTTTCTGCTACTCACTGAAGCAGCACTGCAGACAATCATGCATTCTAGAATATTTTGAGAGATTTACTCTTTTAAAACCAGCATATCTTCTAGGTTATGTCCCATAGCCTGCACATCCTGCTCCAGTTCAGCAGCAGTAAAGGACACACAGGCCAAACTTTTAATCAGATAGTGCTACAAAAACAGGAAGTTAATTGACTCCTGTAGGAGGAGACCCTGAAAACCAAATGGAATGACTCCAGGAGCTCTTTGGTCTGCCTGTACCCATAACAGAACTCTAATTTAAAGTTGACTTCCTGCTTTGACCCAAACTGGGTGCTCATAATTGAGGGTTTTAAGCTTTTCTTAAACTTTCTTTACTTAAAGACTGAATCAGGACAATGAGTTCATTCAGAAAAGTATGAATTTTGGATCAGTTAAACAGATCTACCAGGTGTCATTTTTCTTGATTTTTGTTTGAACTTCTTAGGTTTTATTTTGGCTTTATATTCTTTGGGTACAGAAAGCTTTCTCAAATGTTTAGGGTATTACAAAGTATAAAGGTATTTTTAATGTATATTTTTCTGGTACCTCAAGTTCTGCCTAATATGTGTGTTAGAACAAAATCTTTATGCTGTATCACAGAGTTGAAAAGGCTGTTGTTTCATGTCCCACGTTTCCCAAACAAGAAGCAGTGTGTGCCTGAGGGCAGTGCATGCTCTGTTCCAGAAGGTGCTGGCTGGAGATGCTGTGTGTGCTGTGCATGGCACAATTTGTCAGGGACTGATAAAAGCAAACACTCACCACTGTCAGCAGCTTTGGTAGTGCACGCAAGAACCTCAGGATCTTGCTAAGGATGAAACTAATTAGAAAAATTGCTCAGAAATATATTTTCCTGCCAGAGTGACATATAATCCTTACTGTATAGGCTGTGCTGTCCTAATGGTGCAGAGGCTGTTGCTTTATAAGCTAATGAACTCCACTGTTCTCTCTGGAGGCTTTTTGGCAGTGTTTGTTGTCTGCTCTTTTGAAAGCTTCACCTTTCTAAACAGGGTTTTTGGTACAGTTAATTTGTTTCCTCACGAGGCAGTTTCCTGCCCGTCTCCCTGGATTCATTAGATCTTTATTTAAATATCACTTTCTTGCTGTTTCTGCCATAATTGATGGGGGAAAATGGAAAATGATCTTTTTTTATCTCCTATTATTTGACAAGAATTTATCCTTAATTTACTCCTTTCCTTCACAATGGCGGTGGACATTTTCATTGAAACCCAGATAATGCTTTCCACTTCCCATTTAAACATGTGTAACTTTACACTTTGAACAATTAAGCATAAGAAGTCACCCAAAGAGGTAATTTGAGCTGCTTGAATTTCAGAAGGAAGTAAGAGTAGATTCCTTTGTTCTCCCAGGAGTCATCCCTAAGCAGGGCTTAGATACCATGCTGGCAAAACAAGTGTGTGCCTCTATCCAGAAGGCACAAATTAGCCAGGGTCCAGAGTAATTTTCTTAATTGTGTTAAAGTGTAGTTGACTAAATTTGCAACCCTGTCTTGGGCAGGGAAAAAAACCAAATCCAGCCCTGTTGTAAGCCCTGCCTAGCCACTGATCACAACTGAATAAACACAGACTTGTTGGTTAAAATAATGAACACACTATTTGACATTGATTTTTCCTCTAGGAAAGCAGTTCCATGAAATGCAGCTCTGCACTACCTGCAGGGTTTCTCACGTGGCCCAAGGCTGAGGGAGCCACCTGTGCCAAGACAGCACTGGGTGTTCTGGCACTGGGGCTGTGGTGCCTTGGGCAGGGTGTGCACTGGGACAGCTCCCTGTGCTTGGGGCAGAGGCAAAATGGCACAACAGGTTTGGTTCACTAGGACTCCTTTGCCCACCCTGGAGTTGCTGTCCAGTGCCACAAGTACTTCTAATTTGACCACAGTAAGTAAAGCAAATTGGAAAAACTGAGGGAAGAATGTTCTAAACACAAATACTAAAATCAGATTTAAGTAGCATAAATTCATGATGATGCAACTATGCAGACATCCAAAAAAATAACCATTACCTTTATGGCTCTGGCTGCTAAATGAAAGTAAATATACAGGAAAAGTGATAATGTTTTTAATAACTTATAAATAGTTCCTTATGTCACATACGCAGTGTTTGTGAATGAAATGGGGGATTTCAATTTAGTGCTATTAAAAGAAAAATGAAAATCACTTCCTGGTTGAGTGAACTGTAACTTTTGGTTTAGTCCAGTCAGTAGTTATGTCTGTCTTCTTCTCTGACACAGACAGTTTTATCTCTGACCTGGAATACCAGCCATCAGGTTCAACAGAGAAATGGACTCAACATTCAGCACTCATGTCCAACTCCTTTGTGGAAAATCTAGAGGGTGAGTCTGCTTACTGAAATGCTTCAATGTTTGAAATTGGAGCACAAAGGAAAGGGGAAAGTGTTGTAAGAGTTTTAAGAGCTGCAAGTGAAAAGCACTGTGTAATGCTGAAGTATTGCTATAACCAGACACCTGTGTATTCTGAAATAGTTGGAAATTTAGCATTTGTGAACCAGGTGTACACTCATTCAGTAAAAACCTCCACTCAAAGTATACAGAGCTGCCACAGAACTTCCTGTGTGCTGTAGGATCTAGTAAAATAGCAGAAGAGGATATGAAAATCTGAAGCCAAATATGGGCAAGGTAGAAGAGTGGCCAGATCAGTCAACTGAGAAATTTGGAATGTTTCTCTTTTTCAAAAAGATGAAGCAATGTCAATTTAAATAGATGGAATACAGTAGCATGCACCTCCAGTCAGAGTATTAGGAATACAGGTCCATAACTAGACTTAGAGTTGAATGTGCACTATAATTGGAATATCTGGATTTATTATTTCAGCTTCTTTATTTCACATATAAGCAAGATAATTAGGCCCTATGACTCTTCTAAATACTAATGGTATTAGAATTGTTGCATGGTCTATTGGTCTTGTTTGTGTTTAGACTTTTTAGTGGTTTTCACTTTATTACAAACATGCCTAAAATGCCAAAGAACTATACTGTCCCTTTTCTCTTAATACATGCACATATACATTGTAAAGACTTAAAACATTTTCTACTTTCTCCATAGATTTGTAAAGGTTAATAACTATAAATGTGCATTTGGTAACAGTGAAATAACCAAGCTCTTCATAAAACTTTCACACAATTACTGTGTGGACTGATCCTAAGTTTACCTATGAAACTGAAATAAACCACACTGGTCTTTTGCCAGTTTTCAAGAAACTTAATTCTGCTTTCCTTACCTATCAAAATGTTATTAGTAAGGTAAGTAGCTCCTATTTGGAATGGCAAAGCCAGGGAAAGGACTGTACACCAAGCTGACATTCCTGTGTCTTTAAACAGCAAATCAATTAGTAAAATAAGAGTTATAACTTAGATTGTTTCAGTGTTCTGCACTATAGCCTGTGCAATTCAGAACCTGGTAGGTTCAGAATAATTTTTGAAGAGCAGGAGTTCTTGAAAAATAGAAATTCAGGCTAATAGTAAAATAACCCTAAAATACCAGTGTCCCCAAGTGAAAAATAACACATAGGGTGGTAAACCCCAAATTTAGGCCTATGAAATGTATGCTGACAGGTCCCTTTTATAAAGGGCACACAAACAGAAGCCCAGACAGAAACACATTTACACACAAGTGTTAGCATTTGACAAATGCAATTGAGAAACATGGTATTTTTTAAAATGAAACTAATGGGTATTTTGTGTATTTGGCACAGTGTAGTGTGGTGTTAATACAGGATAGGATACAGAGTAAAGTAGGATGGTTTTGTACCTTAAAGAATGCTCAGTGTCAAATCAGACAAGTTAACTGTATCCACTGCCAGTACAGAATTTTTAGAGAGCCAATTTTCAGGCTTAAATTAGGAAGAACACAGCTTCTAAATTATACTGCTGAGGAGGAGAGCAACTGTGACTGCAGTGTGCTGCAGGAGATCAGAGCATCTACCAAGGCAGGAAATAACCAATGGAATACTTGAGTCATCCTTTAGAGGAGGGGTAAGTGAGGTGACTGCTACAGGGAGTACCAAAACATGAGGAGAACCCACATGAGGAAATAGCTCTTTATTTGGTTGAAAGGAATGCACAAAAACTTCTTGAAAAAATTAAATTTTGTTTTGTAGCGGTTTCAGCATCACAGGCTGTGACAAACTTGAAAAGGCAAACAGTAGAAAACAACCAAGCTTATGAAAATACAATAGGTGGTCAGAAGGGTCACACAGTTGCAAGCAGTCTGCAGATTATTTAGGAAGGTTCTTAAGTGTGCAGTTACTCTGCTGTGAGAGAGACTACAAGCTGCTTCCACATGCAGAAATCAGAACAGAACATAAAAATTATGGAGTTAAATGGGAAATGTAACCAACAGATGACTATTCAGTTATTCAGTTAAAATTAGCTAAGTGATGTTAGAAAGTTTTGTGTATTGATGTTGACAATTGAGGAACTAGAGATGGTCATGCCCAGAATCCTTTGAAAAAGAGACATGTGGCAGGACCTGCCTCAGTGTAAGGTGTCAGCAGAAAGGTTTCAGAGCAGTGACAGTGACAATTGTCCTCAAGTAGATGACATGGCAGACAGCAGCTCTGGAAGAGCAAGCAGCAGTTAAGTGTCAAGTAGAACCTGATGTGGAGCCTGGGTAAATGTGATACTGCTGCTGCTCTGCTCTGCTTTTTGGAAGGGTGAAAACCAAAAACTGTCCAGAAACGTCTACAAGATCACACAGATCTTGTGATTAAAGGAAACCAGGTAGTTAAAGTGGAAATGAGAGTAAGGGAAGGAATCAAACCTGCACTCACCAATAAAGCTGTCTTGAATTTAAAATAAGAATCATGAGAACCATGAGAACTTGCTCAGTAGTGTTAAAAGTCATTTTGAAAGGGTGAATAAATGCTAGGAATGTCCAGGGAACAGCAGAGAATAAGAAAATGCTACTCCTTAGATCTATTTTGTGGCCACATTTTGTCACTGATGCCACAAAGGAATTAGATGAATGCCTGTTGTTGGACCTGCTAGAACTCTGCAGCCAGAAAAAAGAATGAGGAGAAAATGCCAAATATAATAAAATGAGTGGGGGGCACAGAAAAGGTAATGGAAGATAATTGCTGGGAAGGAAACCAGTAAGTGACCAACAAGTAATCCTGGGGCAGGTTCAGCACATCTAAAAAACATTGCTATTGCTATGGGGAGTTAAGCTTTGCAGTCTGCTGTCACAGAATGTTGCAGTTGACAGAATTTTGCACAGACCTTAAAAGATCCCAGAGAGAAAAATCCAAATGGGAACATTTGGCACAAAAGATGCTGTCTCTAACTCAGGAGTTCCCTGAGACAAACACATTTTGGAGGCTGGTGGAACACCCTGGGGAAGCATTGTTGTATCTTGCACGTCTCTGCTCTTGCCCATTGCAGTGGTCTGTAATCTGAACTGGTTTGCCTGAAGTTCTCCATAGAGGTTTTCAGGAAGCATTTTTGACTTAGGAAAACCTAAAATGTTTGGTAACTGCCAATAAAGATACTTGCTTGTCCTGTAGAAAGTAGATTAGTGGCTTCCTGCAAGGAAAAAGAGGTTACTTGCATTATTCCCTGAAAGGCCTGTAGGTTCATGAATTTCCTTTTCTTATATTCTTATAAAAATATATATATACTTAGATATACTTCTGTTTTCCTTTGTGCTCCAGTACAAAATATTTGTCTTTTAGCACAATGAGAGGGGAAATTAGATACAAAGTAATTCAGAAGCAATTCATTTGATTAAGGAGGATAATGCCTTTACTTTTGATATTAGAACTTCAAACACCTTAGAAACACCTTAAGAGTGTTATTCTAAGTTCATAGTTCTGGGGGGCTTAATTTATCCAAAACATCCAGGAGTTTATTATTAGAAGCACCAGCTTCTAATGCTGATGTCTTGCTTCATAGCACAAGAGCTCTGTTCTGTTCAAATCCGTGAACATGGATCACTTTCTGTAGGTGGGAATTTCTCCAGAGGGGTTGCTCGGTGCTGGAACAGCACCCACAGCTCTGGGTGTCACTCACTGCACAAATGGCTGAGCTCTTCAACCTAACTGTAGGTCTTAAAACTGTGGATAGCAAGTTGCAAAGTTTGAGGAGCTCTTCCTGAGCAGCCTGGCTGTCAGGCTGTGGCTTTGTCAGCTGTCCAGGGCAAGCCTTCAGTGACCAGAGGCAAAATCCTCAGGGGCAGGGGCAGGGGAGGCCTCAGTGCTCCAGCTGCTGCCCCTTGTGCAGTGGGCAGGGACTGGAAATAGAAATGAAAACCGTGGGAAGAACCCAGTAAAACAGAGTAAGTGGTTGCTCTTATTTTACAGCAGATCCCAAAGTCAGAGCTACTTCTACTTTGTTCTACCCATATTGATGTTAGGATGCTGCTTCATATTTTGCTATTTTTCATTTTGTAGGCTGGAGCCTCTGTCTGACATTTGGTGCTTTCTCAGTGCAGTGTGTTGCTCCTTTTCCAATGCAGCACAGAGAGGGAAAAGCTTTGCAATGCAATATTGCAGAATCACCAGTACTGACCAGGCCAATCTAATCTGTTTGTAGCAGATTTCCTCCCCACCAATTTAACTTCTGTTCTGCACTCTCTGTTTTTAACTGTTAGTATAAATTTGCCAGCCAGCTTATGTTCTAGATAAATACTAAGGGAGGAAAAGGTGAAACTATTGCAAGTAAGGTAACAGCTGAAATTCTGAAATCTGGGAAAACTGCCAAAGAGGTCAATTACATAGACAGAGAAAAGTTGTTAAAATAATTTTCATTTCACAACCCAATATTCAAAAAAGGAGAAAAAAGTGTTTTAAAAAGCTGCTGTATCACATTTTGATCTGTGCCATGTCTGACAAGTTTTCAAAGTGCACTTATCAGTGTTGTATGGAGGAATGTGCCATGAGTGTACACAGGGTGGTGTGTGCACCCCTCTCTCTCTTTGTCTGCTCCAGTTGTCATTTCAGGATTATTGACCTGGACTGTTAGCACAGGAAATACTTTGTGGCATTTTTTATATCATCCACTCAGTTGACACTGATCATTCAGAATGATTTTAGGTATCAGTAGGTACCAAATGATTACTAAATATTAGCAAGGCCTCTGTAGTGATTCAGTGTGCAAGGCATTTCTGGTTCCTCCTGACTTGAGGAGTGAGTGGGATCAGCAGTCAGCACCTGCACCACAGGTACCAAACAGGCAGGGATTAACTGGAGGGGCCACGGACTGAAAAGTCAAGGTCTGCTTGCACAACTGTTCATCTAAAGTCTAATGAAACTGGCTCTCTCCAAAGAGGCAGCAAAAGTATGAACTACAGAACACATGAACCTGGCAGCCAGAGCACAGAGAACATGAAAACCATCCTGGAGATCTGTATTGCAGAATCACAAACAAGCTCTGCAGCCTTCCCCTGCAACTTGTGCTGAAGAAAGGAAATGGGATCAAGACAAGGAGGTTTAACAAAGCCATGCATGCTGCTTTCCCAGTGTCTAGTTGCTAATGGGATGGCTCTTAAGGTTAAGCAAAAGGGAGGATGAAGTCTTTATATTTTTGGGACAGAGTAGCCCCTGCAGCCCATAGTCAAAAGTAGGAGAGGTAGGAAAAGTGGTTTTATAAAAGTAAAGAAATTTTCTTTTGTTTATAAAGCATCAGCAGTACGGCCTGAGCTTGTCCTTTATCAGAATTGTTGAAATTTGTTCCTCTCCCAATTTGTCACCTGAAGAATTTGAGTTTTGCTAGACAATATTGTAGAAAACCTGTATTTATGCACATTAATTAAGTTTTCAGTTTCAATCACAGACTGTTACATCTTGTGTGCTTGCCCCTCATTGCAAGAAGGTGACACGTCATGCATTCAAATACTGACCTGGATTTCTCTTTTAGTCTTTAATACAAAAAGGAAAATGTTGGATGATTTCACTCTCAGCCTTGTACATTTTTATGCAAGATTTTATCTCTTGCTGACTACATGATTTACATTTGAAACTGCTTTAATTTATACCATTCCCCATCAGAAAGGCAAGTTCTGATAATGCTGGTATTATATGAATATTATATGTGCCATGAAAGATTAGAGACTGATCTGAGCTGCTGCCTTCTGCAAGTTCTCCTTTCTCTGAAGCCTTTATTTTTATCCTCATCTGTACCTCATCTAAACAATGGAGAGTCTTCTGGAGTCTGCAGGCTCCCCCCAGTCCATTTGTTGGGTACAGAGTTCCAGACAGTTGAAATGGACATTCCTGGAAAGTACAGAATAGGAAGATGTGTTAGTTGGGAGGCCAAGGTCTGTGAAAAAATGCCTTGGTCAGACAGCAGGAAAAGCATTTTCAGCCTTTTTTTGAGGCCTGCAAGGTGCACTGGCAGAACAGTGATTTACATCTTATTTTGAAAAAAAGCACACTTGAATACTGGTTGGTTTTATAAATTAGCAATTCTTGTAAAGTCACTGGGACAAGTAAGGTTCCTCCACTAGAATTCCTCATTGGAATGAAGACATTTGCCTAAGAAATGGTAGATGTTTCTAATGGAAATCCATCTAAACCAGATAAATCTGTATTCACCACATGCTAAAAGTATTGCAAAAAAATCCCACTGAGCTACAAACAGCTTCTTATAAACAAATTAGTGATTATTTGGAATAAAGCAACACAAACTAACCTGTAGCTTTGATATTCTACACAATGACTTCTGCAGAAGTTTGGCAAATCAAACCCCATGTGACCAGCTATTGTCTTCAGAGTAATGTGTTCCAAGGAGAATGCAGTGCCAATGGCTACGTGCTGTTCAGTTGAACACCTCTGCCTGTGGGAACTACAAAACATTGCAGGACAGACCAGTTTGTGCTGATGGTGCTAGTACAGATACTGATCAGCCATCAAAACTTAAGGGAAGTAACTAATCATTTCAAAATACTGAACTTCAGGATGTTATTGGTAATGTTTTTATTGTAGCACTCATGAAGGTTTTAGCAGTACTGAGCAGCTGGGACATTGGGTTTGCACAGAGCTGCTGTTCAGTAGATAAGAGCTGTTGGAGCTCCTGAGAGCACGCTAATGAATGCCCTGACAGAAGCTGCTGGAGCACAGTTCTTATGAATAAGCATCCATCATTTGTTTAAAAAATAAAAAGTTGTGGGTTTATTTAGCAGTTTTGTACTTATGTATTGTGTTGGCCTAATCAAAATACTTAGAAAAGTGCCCTACCTGCAGTCCCACAGTTTGCAGTGTCCTCGTGCAGTTAGGTTCATTGAATGCAGGTTTTTCTAAGCCAGATGAATTGCACATTGTAATGCTGGAGGGAATTGGCTTTTCCATGGTGTGTGTGACCTGTTGGGACCCTTGGGTTCAATACCAGGGGTGTAACAAGCTGTCCTTGCACTCGTGAGGAGAAAACCATTGCAGGGATGGATAACAAACTCCTCCTCCATTACACACAGGGCTGTGCAGGAGGTGGTTTTAATGCTCTCCTGAGTGACACAACCTCTTTTCAGAGCTGAATTTTCTAAGTTACATGGATTTCAGCATATTCACAATATTAATAAATTTCCTTTCAGAACCACTTATGGATCCTACTGCCACGAATGGCAATGCTCAGGCTGTTCAGTGCTAGAAACACAATTTACACCAGCTGTAGATTGGTTTTGTTATGCTTCTACCAGACAGGAATAGTTGGTAGGAAAGTAAATCCTGCTATGGAAAATTAAGGAAACGTTAAGAAAGGTGATGAAGTGCATCAACACTGTTCTGTAAAATTACCCAATAGAGATCAGAGTAGCAAAAGTCTGGGTTCCAGATCTGTTGAGGTGTTCAATAGAAGCAGCTTATTAACGGAACAAAACATTCTAAACATAAAAATGGTCCTTAGTCAACAAAAAGATCCATTAAATACCTGTTTGTAGAAGGTCCAAGCAAACTCATGCAATGATTAAGGAAAGGCCTCTGTAATTCAGCCTATTCAAAGTCTTGCTGAGAAAGAGATGATATAACTTACTGCCCACTCAGTAATGGGAATCGACAGGACTCATTGCTTCTAACAATGAAATAATAATTTAGGTTGTGGTTATGGTCCAATATTCTTCTAAAATTTGTCATTATTATTTAATGTGATATTTTTCATGTCAACATAGAATGTATTTCAGTTTTCTTTGATAACATTACCAAGGTCCATTTTTGTAAAATAGACATTTCTATCACGGCTTTTACACTTAGCTTTTAAAATTATAATTTTTATCATCTTCCAACCTCAATTGTCCTGCATTTAATGACATAGGATTTAGAGTAGGACTTCAAGATTATAATTTCTTAATAACCTAGGTTAACTTTGTCACATTCATGGAGGTGTCCCTCACTTCTAAATAGTACAAGTTGATTAAACTTGACTGAAGTTGACACACAAACTGGCCTCTATATTAGTCCATCCTGAATCTTCACTGTTGGGAAATTGACTGATATAATTCAGTTACTGTGGTTTCAGAAATGCAAGTATACAGAAAACTGGCCCAATTAATAGGTATGTAGTGTTTAAAAAGAATATTCTCTTAACCTGAATCCAGGTTCTTAGGAAGTTCTGTAAGTAGCCTGAAAGAGCCAGGAGTTGCTGGAGTTATTTGTTGTGCTTGTCACACTCTCGAACAGAAGGAGTTCTGTGGGGAAACCTCAATAAACCTGACCTGTGCTGTGCCTTTCAGTTACCTGTGTGTCATGAATGCTCATGTGCTTATTTTCTTCAAGGAGCTTAGGGATTCTCCTGCATGGATTATGGCAGGACGTTTTTTCCCCCCTTGCTTAACTGTTGCTGAAGCCAGGCTCCTCATTCATCTCCTGTTACATAACAGCATCAAGGCTCAGCTCTGAAAGTATTTATTTTTAAAAGGGTTATGCTGATGAGTTCTGCCTTTTGGAAAGTATAAAAACTGTCAATTTTTAATATTTCTTCTTTTATTTTTGTAGTGAATGAGATCATAGGAAGAGATATGTCCCAGATCTCAGTGTCACATGGAACACCAGTGGCCAGCCAGCCTGCACATCCGTGTCCTGGGTCTCTGGAGACGAGAATATCTGATGGAATCCAGTAGTGGATAAGCTAACGACTCAACATCCATGACAACGTCACAGTTTCTCTGAATATTTCTTCATCCTCTTCCTCCTTAGACTTACTGTGCTTCCAACTCTGTGGCCTTTATGAACTGGAACAGTGGATCCTTGCAAAGCCCTTTTAGTGGGTTACATTTTTGATGTAGAGACAGAGCATTTTAATTATAGTTCCTCAGATGCTGTAAAGAGACTTCTTAAAATGGACACACAGAACCTACACCAGATATTTTAACTGTTTTAAAGTTACAAACAAGCTTTGCTTTTTGCATTTAAATAGAATACTTTTATGTTTTAAGTGCTTCAGATGTGTGGAGGTGTTAGTTTGCTCTTGTAATATTCACAGTCCTGAACGTGGAAGATTTAATGCACATCTTCAGTGTGCTGCTTGCCCTTAGAGGTAGTATAGTTTGTAACTGATGATTTGTAACACCTTTTGGTCATTTTGGAAAGCCTTTAAAGCTTCTGTTGTTTCATTTTTTTTTTCTTAATAAGATCTTCCAGTGGCCAGTTGTACCTGTCATCTGAAGCCAATGCCACGGAAGCCATTGTGTATATGAATACTGTAGTGTTTTCTTTCTTAGATTCATAGGAAGCAAAGCCAAATGTAGATCTGCACTTGTTTATAAACTGAAGATGTTACTTGATAGGCTGCAAAAAGACCATTCCATCATGAAAGTGTTGGGATAGAAATTACATTCCAAAATTTACCTTTTATAACTTTGTGGATAATCTTCCTGATCTTTATTAGCACAGGCTCCTTCTTGAAATAGCTTTTTTCTTAGCAAGTTACATTTGTAAGCAAATTTGAGCAGTAGGATTTTAGATTAAAGAACAGCAACATCAAAGCCATGTTAGATACAGGAGAAAATTTAATGTTTGCTGAGGATCTAAATATTCCCATTATCCCTGCAGAATATGGGTTTGAAATCACCAATTCAGTGGCATTCAAGTTTTCAATGCAATAGATCATCTGATCACATCTGTTATCTTTTCTATTCTGTATGCCCAACCATGCCACTTGGAACTCCTAAGGAGATGACAGTTGCAGTTCCTTAAATTCAGGCTGTTTGTAAATGTCAGTTTGCTAAAAGTAATTTACTGTGAATTAGTGGTTGGGCAGTACCATGTGTCCATGTTTCATTTCAAAGGTGTGAAGCAGGAGCTACCAAAGAAATACACAAGATTCAGCAGCAGCAGTAAACTCTGTGCTGTGCTCTGAGGATGCATCTCCTTTATCCCCATAATCTGATGAATTTGAAACAATCTGTTTACATCATTACTTAAAAATCTCTGGCCTTTCCAGTCAGACACTGTGGAGAGGATCCAGCACTGCCTGTGGAGGCTACAGCCTTTTCCCTCCCCCAGGAATCACTCATTGCAGAGCTTCCCTCATGGAACACACAGGGTACACCGGTCATGGCAAAGGCCAGCAGTACAGGGAGCTCAGAACATCCAAGGTGCTCCTTTTATTGCTCATTTGGGTGAGCCATGACGATCTAACAAAAGTTAAGAGTGAATTAACACAAAGAATTAGAAAATTGGAAAATATATTTGCATTGGATCCCATTCAGGCAAGTGTAGCCATTTTAGCAGTTAACACACGGGGAGCACATGCCCTGTGTAGACTTCAAAGGAATGAAGGGGTCTGACAGTGGAGAGCAGTGCTGAGTTACAGCACCTGGGAAAGCAAACACAGCTTCTACTGATGTTGCATTTTGGCAAACAGGGGTGGGGAAAACTTTGGATTGAGCCTTTTGCAGGCAGAACCTTACACCTGGAGTGAAGTCAGTGCCCAAGCAATACCATAGCTGTAATCTCATCTCTGTAACAACTGAATCATGAACTTTTAAAGACCATATTAAGTGGGTAAAATTGTAATTTTATCATGTACTTCCTTTTAAGACTGCAGCCTGAGGCTACTGACTTGATGTATCATAATTATTCAAACAACTTAATGCAAGGCCACTATGTACCTGCTGGGAATCTTAAGCATCCTTTTTTGTGAATGTACTGTTGAGTGGTGCAAATCTTGACATTTGCAGGAAAAAATTGGCAGGGCTGGAATCTGGAAAGTATGATATTGAATTGTCCCTCAGCAATGGTGCTTTTCTCTGTCCTCTACTCGTGTGTGTTAAAGGTCCTAGAAAGAACTCACATGCTCAGAAATGCATCTACTTCTGTTTTTAACACCTTCAAAACAAACCAAACCACACAATGCTCTAAACCATGTCATTGTCTCACAGTGTGTGCTGGTGGCAAGGCACGTTCCAGTTTTCATTCATGTATTGGGTCTTTTGCATTAACCATTGTTTGTAGGAGAATTCTGACTGAAAAGCTTTTCATACTGTATGGGATTTATGCTCCTTTATCCTGCTGGTACAGACTCTCCTTGCAAGTTCTCCAAGTAGCTGGAATTCACACTGTACCTAAAGTATAGGAGCCCAAACAATCCGGAGTTGCTATGCACTAAATTTTCTGATGCCTTTAAATACCTTGATGCCTGTAGACATAGAAATGCTTTCCTATTTAAAAATGAAATTTAAAAAAATATAGCTTTGGATACTAAAGCAGTTTTGTATTTGCCTTGTAAAAGCTTCAATACAAGGGTCTTAATTTTATTTTAGCTTGTGTGATAACGTAGATAAAGACTGTTAATCTTGTATAATTTTAGTGATATAAAAAGCACATGATCTCTATTGGACTATGCAAATTAAATTAAACAACAGAACCCGGCAACTGTTAATATTTTGTTGGCATCCACTTCCTTGTCCTTAAGTCCTGTCTTCTCCCTGAGTTCTTTCCCAAAAATTTTTAATAACTTAGATTATCCTGAAGGAAAGCCTTAATGATGAGGTCGCTTTTCTATAAGGAGGGTCAAAGATCAATGTTTGGGGAAAAAAAAAAAAAGGGGTAGCATATTAATTCAGGGGGACAGGGGTGAGTTGTGAAATTAGGAATCTGAATTTCTGTAGTAAAACTTACCTGTTATCAGGGGAACTGCCACCCTTTTTAAACCAAAGAATGAAAAAATGGTTTTGTTCTGATACAAAGCTTTGAAACTCTATTTTTGATACTCATAATGGATGTCATTCCTTGAGGTTTGGAAATCGTTCAAATTGAAGTTTTATATTTAAAAATGTGGGACAATAAAGATTAAGTTCTAGATGTTTACAGAGCCTTGTATTGTAATTTCATGTACATTTTGTATTTTAAACATTTTTGTAAGTTATGATTGCAGTGCTACTTGCAGAAATAAAGGGAAAAACTTGCATTTAGGCTCTTAAATCATAGTGTTCAAATAAATAAAAATAATGCAAATACATTGTCATTTATTTGAAATGCAGACCCAGGGGAAGTGAGGGGCATTGGCTATTCCCCCTGGAAGGGTGATCTGACAGAGACTGGGGCTCAGATTGGAGCCAGCCTGTGAACCTCCCCCTGCCTCAGAGCTGATGGGCAGTGCTGGCAGAGCATCAGCCTGCACGGTACTGCTGCTTCCCTATTTGCAACTGTTACTGCTTCAATTAAACAATCACGAGATTATTTTGAAAGATTTTTCCAGAAGTTATTATTCAAAAGAGTTCGTCATAAAAAGTAATTCCCATTCCTGAAAGGATATTATCATAGATGTAGTTAAACAGTTTCTGAAATAAATGTGAGATTCCAACAAAGTTCATAGTACTTGCCAAATCCTGGCTGATCAGGCAGCAGGGAGGGAAGTCCCTGTGGGTACAGCCAGGCCTTACAATGTGTATCTCATCTCAGTGATCTCGGTGCTGCTGGAAAGGTTTTTATTTCCCTTGCAGTTTCCTGCCGGGCCCTTTCCCTACCCAGGGAGGTGCGGGGCTGTTCGAGCCGAGCACGGAGCAGGAGCTGCGGCTTTGGCTGCCACGCTCACCTGCACAGGGAGAGCAGCGGAGCCGGGATCCGGCCGGGCTGGGAGCAGCGTCCCGCGGAGCGCCTGTCCCGCCCCGGTACCTTCAGCTGCGTTTGGCTATAAATACACCAGAAAGGGGACGCTCGAGTGGCACCAGCCGAAGCACGGTAAATATAGCCGAGCTTTAGTAAAAATAGCCCCGGCGGTTTGAAAGCTGTTCACATGTTGTGCAGGGTGATTACCCGGGGTATAATTAGCACACGCCGACACCAGCAGTAAGCCATTGACTGCGTCTCCTTTGCCGTCAGTCCGAGTCGCCTTTCAGATGCAAATGTGCTGGAGGCTGCTCCGCTCGGGGCTGGGGGGGCACAGGAGCGCTGGCACACGCGCGGCTCTCGGTGCACAGACCCGGCTTTATTCCAGGCACGGTGAAAACGGCGCTTCTGCCTTGCACAGCAGTGGTTTGGTGTTGCAGGTAATCAGAGAAAAGGAATGTCCTGTTCAAGTCAGTTCCTTCAGAAGAGTAACCAGACGTTTTCGCTTGGGACCCAAACCCAAAGGAAATGCTGGCAGAAATCAAGGTCTTTTACTTCTCATATGGTAGCCAGTATTTCCTTACAATATTCCACAGCACACACACTTGTGCTGTCTTCTTCCTGCTGCTTGTTTGTGGGCCTCTCTCTCCCTGCCTAACTCAAAATACCAATGTATGTTCTGTATCTACCACACACTCCACTGGACTGAATGAGGCGAGGATTGAGCTGTTTTGTCCCTACCTTTTTTCTTTGCCCTTTGGCTTCAATTTATTTACAATAACAGTATTCAGGAACTAGCCACTGCTGTAGTGAGTGAAGTATTAAGATATGTAGAAGGCCATGGAAGAGAAAAAAGGATTTTCAATATATTTAAATTCATGCATAGTTCTGCATACAGACTTCTCTGGTAAAGGAAGTTAACTCAGAACTATATTCTGCCTGGTAAAAAGATAATTTTTATCAGTCAGTCATAAAAACAAAAATCATTGCCATTGCAGAGATCTTCTAAAAAATTATTTTACTCTAACCTACTGTTACTTTTGTTAACACTTGCTACATGCAAAAGAAAACAAGGGAAAAACCCCCAGACTAAGATACAGAAGCAATAGAAAAGAAATATTTACTTTGCAAAGACTTGGATGTTCCATAGATCTTGTTTTTGAAGAGATTGATCCACTAGAAAAGTCAGGCTATACAAGTTCTCAAGCTGCAAATGTAAAGTTTTCATTTCATTTGTGGTTTTTATTACTGGACACTGAAAAATAAATACTTACCTCTTCCTTCCTGTCATTGCTGTGACACCTGCTGGTAAGAGCTGGAAGAATGTTTGTAGTCTGTGCTAGTTCTTTTCTGTAATTTTTGATCAAAGAAAAGTGATGCACCTAAAGAGGACTTGATATGAAAGTATTGCTTGGGAATGTGGTGCTGGATAATCAGTGGTGTCATATGAAGTAAGCTGGAGGGAAAAGGGAACAGCTACTCTTCCAAGTTCTTCTGACAGTGGAATGATAAATGACTGATGGCTTAGAAAGGTCCTTCTTGTAATAAAAAGCAGGAAAAACAGGGAAGCAGCAGTGTGGAAAATCCTGACTGTTGGGAAGGCAAATATTTTCTAGAAAAGAAGCAATAATAAAAACCAATAACCATCCTACGTATTAACAACTGCAGCATCTCTCAATAAATACCTCCACACATTAATGACTGCAGGGTCTGGACTCAAAGACAAAAGTTCCTGAATCCAGCTTCTCCACATCCCCAAGGTTCTGGCTGCAACACCAACATCAAGGATTTAGGCTGGCATAGAGCATTTTTTAGGACAAGGCATGAAAGGTCAGGGTTGCCTTCCTAAATTTACTACAGCTTGGTACAGAAGGTGTGATGGATTCTTCTCTGCCAAGGAGGTAACAAACACACAGCACAGAATAGCTGAGTTTTGTCCTACATGCATCATAATTTTTTTTTCTCACAGCAATAAAAGGATCTGTTTGTAAATATTCCAAGAACTCCCTGGTGTATCCACCAGCCAAGTGTTTCTTGCAATGTGTTGGAAAAGGACAAGACAAACTTCTAGCAGTCAGTATGTCACTGTTTTCAAGTAGGAAATTCTCTAAGTATGATGCAAGAACAGATTTTTCCAGTCTTCCATCACTTGAAGAAGTCCCCCCAGAGCTGCTGCGTAGCCTGTCCAAAGCACTGGTTTTCTATGATTTCATGAATTAAGGTTTACTTCCAAGGTTTGCCATTTTAAGAATTACATCATAACAAGGGTGCAACAACCATTTACAGGTCAGAAAGAGCTGCAGTTGACAGCAGATGTGCAGATTTCCAGTTGAACTGCCATTGGTTCAACTTTACCCTGTGTGTTTTCTAGGCTGGGTCTCCATGTGGAAAGGTTGCTCAGACATTAATCCTCACCCCTGCCTGTCTCAGCAGCTCCTGCTCAGGTCTGTGCTGTGTGATCGGTTCCTGCTGCACTCATCAGCACACACAGTTTTGCCAGTACATGCATTTCT